CAAGCCTACCCCTACAATACAACCATCAACCGTCTCTACTGTACAAAAAACACTCAAGGTATGTCCTTGATGAAGTAGATGGGGAAAGCCTCTATCTTGCCGTTGTTCGAAACGCCTACCCCAACAATAACCATCAACTGTATCTACTGTGCACAGACCGTCAAGGTATGTCCTTGATGAAGTAGATGGGGAAAGCCTCTATCCTGCTGTTGTTCCAGGCAAACTTCGACTACAACCACCAGCTGTCTCTACATCTCTACGCAGACCCCTCAAGGTGTGTCCTTGATGAAGTAGACGGAGAAAGCCACTATCCTGGCGTTGTCTGACAAGCCTACCCCTCCCTACAACAACCATCAACCGACTCTACTGTACAAAACCCCCTCAAGATATGTCCTTGAAGTAGATGAGGGAAGCTTCTATCCTGCTGTTGTTCCACGCGAACCCCTTCAGCAACCATCAGCTGTATTTACTTTTATAAAAATCCCTCAACTCAAGGTATGTCCTTGAAGTAGCAGATGGGGAAAGCGAAAGCGTACCCCTACAACCATCAATCGTCTCTACATTTCTACACAGACCGTCAAGGTATGTCCTCGATGAAGTAGATGGGGAAAGCCTCTATCCTGCCATTGTTCCAGGCGAACAACTACAACAACCATCAGCTGTCTGTACTGTGCAAAAGTTTTAAAAACCTCAAGGTATGTCTTTGAAGTAGATAGGGAAAGCGAAAAGCCTACCCCTACAACCATCAATCGTCTCTACATTTCTACACAGACCCTCAAGGTATGTCCTCGGAGTAGATGGGGAAAAGCCTCTATCCTGGCGTTGTCTGACAAGCCATACCGCTCCCTACAACAACCATCAACCGTCTCTACTGTACACAAACCGTCAAGGTATGTCCTTGATGAAGTAGATGGGGAAAGCCTCTATCCTGCCATTGTTCCAGGCGAACCACAACAACAACCATCAGATGTCTCCACTGTACACAGACACCTCAAGGCATGTCTTTGAAGTAGATGGGGAAAGCCTCTATCTTGCCGTTGTTCGAAAAGCCTACCCCAACAACAACCATCAACTGTATCTACTGTACACAGACAGTCAAGGTGTGTCCTTGAAGTAGATGGGGAAAGCCTCTATCCTGGCGTTGTCTGACAAGCCTATCCCTAAAACAACCATCTCTCTGTCTCTACTGTACACAGACACCTCAAGGCATGTCCTTAAAATAGATCGGGAAAGCCTCTATCCTGCCATTGTTCCAGGCGAACAGCTTCGACTGCCGGAAGTCGTAACTCAGCATGGATGTGTTAGAGTTGTCCTTTCCGCGCCAGCCAGGCTGACCTTGAGAGCCGCCCGTCGTCGTTCCATCTTCAGGGCTGACAAGGGGCGCGAAGTTGGGGAACGGCATGTCCCCCGGCTCCAAAATCTGCTCCTTGCCCGTCTCCGTGTTGTAGACGTAGCGTAGGAAAGTGGGCGTGTCTTTGACCGAGTCGGTGGCATAGAGGACACCACACACGAGGAAGGACTTGCCCAGGAGGTGTAGCGGGTAGCTGGTCTGCCACGTGCGCTCTACCTCCATGAGTCGGTGGTTGATCTTGCTGATGACCAGTTTGCCCGCGGAGCTGTGTGTTGCGTACAGGGCCCACAGACCTGGAGAGGAGGAGGGGGAGAGGGGAGTGGGGAGGGGA